TGTTCTTTCTCCTCAGGCTCAACCCAGCAGCTGACATCACAGAGGGCACGCCAGGTAAGGGACAGGAGAGGGAACCGCTTGGGGAAAAGGGACTGGGCATTGAGTGCCACTGAGGATGTAATGGGGAGGGGGCAATAGTGTCGGATGTTCTAAAGCAGTGGTTCTCAACCTTCCTAATGCCGCGACCCTTTAATACAGTTCCTCATGTTGCTGGCACAGCGACACCCCCTAGGCGCAGTGGTTCTCAACCTTCCTAATGCCGCGACCCTTTAATACAGTTCCTCATGTTGTGGTGACCCCCAACCATAAAATTATTTTCGTTGCTACTTCATAACTGTAATGTTGCTGTTATGAATTGTAATGTAAATAATGTTGATGGGTTTTCCGATGGTCTTAGGCGACCCCTGTGAAAGGGTCGTTCGACCGCCAAAGGGGTCGCGACCCACAGGTTGAGAACCGCTGTTCTAGCTGGAGGTGGAAACCTAAACCTGCGAGGTTTCAGGCAAATTTGCCTGCAAAGGTTCACCCCCAAGAACTGACCACTGTTCTCTCCCCCCAGATGAGGCCACAGTCTGTGCACCTCCTGAGAAAAACAGGGAGACGCCGAGCCCAGTAAGTCCTTGGATTAGTCACCTATTTCTGTGTAGCCACGAACCCCAACTTGTTTTTTAAATCCTCACCTGAGGATATTTTTTTCATTGATTTTTCAGAGAGAGGGGACGGGAGGGAGGGAGTAGGTGAAAGAGAGAGAGAAACATCGACGTGACAGAGGCACATCGACTGGTTATCTCCCACCACACGCGCCTTGACCAGGGCCAGGGATTGAACCTGTGACCCTTCCATCTGCAGCCAATGCTCTAACCACTGAGGACACCAGCCGGGGCCAAAGTGCCCCCGCTTTAACAGCGTCACACAAGTATCTCAGTGTCTTGGGTCGGAATTTGGAAGCAGATTGAATCTGCTGGGTGGTTCCGGCTGGCGGACTCTCACGAGGCTGCTGTCATGATGACGGGCTGCATTCATCCGAAGGCTTGACTGGGGCTGCAGGTCCACGTGCAAGATGGCACTCTCCTAGGCGGAGGGTGGGAGGCCGCAGTTCCTCCACACGTGGGCTTCTCTGTGGCAGCCGCCTCCCCCAGAGGGCGGGGCCCCAGGGAGGGAAGGCAGGAGCCCAATGTGTCTTGAGGCCTCTCCATGGCGGCGGCATGCCCTCCCTTCTGTCATAGGCTAAAGGGTGTCCCAAAATTCACGCAAGATTTGAATTTTGCGTGAGCATTAACAAAAACAACAACAAATAAAAGCCTAATTTTACTTGGTTTATTGAATCAGATTCTAATATCTGTTGCCCTTTGATTTCAATCCCTTCAATTTGATAAGCATTACCAAGTACCAAT